TTCGAGGTGCTCTTTGAGAAAAACTCGCTCTTTCTTCGAGATTTTCCAGGAAGCTTGGTACCAGCAAAACCAATTGGCGTTACAAGCTGGTCTCGCTGGTCCTCGCATCGACTCACACGGCCTCGGTGGAACATTCCACGTGTGGGCGAGTAGCGGATTGCCCGACTAACGATGTCTATCGTCACATTGTTCCTTGCTCCAGGAGGCACCGAAGGTAATGGAGGGTCCATCGAGGCGCTTCTTGAGAAGAGATCGCACTCGCGGCGAAAAAAGAGGCTCCGAATCGAAACAATCCTAGGAAGGTTGATACCAGCGGAACCAATTGGCCTTACAAGCTGGTTCCACTGGCCCCACTGGTCCTAGGGTCGACTAACTTGGCCTCTTCGAAAGATTCCACGAATGGTCGAGTAGCGGATCGCCCGACTAACGATGTATATCGCTACATTGTACCTCGCCCCAGGAGGTACCAGGGGCAATCGAGGGTCCTCCGAGACGCTTTTTGGGAAGAACTTGCTCATCCTTCGAGATATTCCACGAAGGTTGGTACCAGCGGAACCAATTGGCCTTACAAGCTGGTTGCACTGGTCCCACTGGTCCTCGCGTCGACTTGCATGGCCTCGGTTGAACATTCCACGCGTGGGCGAGTAGCGGATCGCCCGACTAACGATGTCTATCGTCACATTGTACCTTGCCCCAGGAGGTACCGAGGGTAATGGAGGGTCCATCGAGGCGTTCTTAGAGAAGTGTTCACTCCGAGGCGGTATTCACTCAGGAAATCATGGATGTTAATGTTCGAAATCACGTTCGCAAGCAGAAATCCGTGGAAATCGTTGGAAAACACCGAAACATTGCCAGAATATTAAGACCGACTGTCACTTATTCCCGAATCCCATTGTCGTCGTTTGTCATATAAAATCAAAGGCAATCGGTTTTCAACGAAGGAAATAGTTCTCACTGATTTCTGAATGAACAGTCCCTCGACTCGCACTTTCATCGAGAAAGAAGGCCGTGAATGGAGATCATCTAGGGACACTGGTACCAGCGCGACCAACTGGTCTTATAAGCTGGTTCCACTGGTCTCGCTGGTCTTCGCGTCGACCCGTTTAGCTACTACGAAAGATTTCACGTGTAGGCGAATAGCGGATCGCAGAATTAACGACTATCTTCACGTTCTAATCCGTCCCAGGAGGTACTAGGGGCAACTGAGGGTCCTTCGAGGCGCCCTTTGAGAAGAGCTGAGTGAGAAGATCGGCTTAATTCATGAAAGTTGGTGCCAGCGGAATCAGCTGGAGCTGTTAAAGGCTGGTTCCGTTGGTCGTCGCAGAATCGCAGAATTGACGTCTATTGTTACGTTCTAATCTGTCCCAGGAGACACCGGAGACAATCGAGGGTCCTTCGAGGCGCCCTTTGAGAACAACGGAAGAGAGGAGGTCGACTTAATTCAGGAAAGTTGGTACCAGCGGAATCAGCTGGCGCTGTTAAAGGCTGGTTCCGTTGGTCGTCGCAGAATCACAGAATCGACGTCTATCGTTATGTTCTAATCTGCCCCAGGAGACACCGGAGACAATCGAGGGTCCTTCGCCCTTTGAGAATAACGGAAGAGAGGAGGTCGACTTAATTCAGGAAAGTTGGTACCAGCGGAATCAGCTGGCGCTGTTAAAGGCTGGTTCCGCTGGTCCTCGCGGAATCGCAGAATTGACGTCTATCTTTACGTTCTAATCCGCCCCAGGAGGCACCGGGGGCATTCGGGGGTCCTTCGAGGCGCCCTTTGAGAACAACGGAAGAGAGGAGGTCGACTTAATTCAGGAAAGTTGGTACCAGCGGGATCAACTGGCACTGTTAAAGACTGGTTCCGCTGGTCCTCGCGGAATCGCAGAATCGATGTCTATCGATATGTTCTAATCTGCCCCAGGAGACACCGGAGACAATCGAGGGTCCTTCGAGGCGCCCTTTGAGAACAACGGAAGAGAGGAGGTCGACTTAATTCAGGAAAGCTGGTACCAGCGGGATCAACTGGCGCTGTTAAAGACTGGTAACGCTGGTCCTCGCGGAATCGCAGAATTGACGTCTATCGTTACGTTCTAATCCGCCCCAGGAGGCACCGGGGGCATTCTGGGGTCCTTCGAGGCGCCCTTTGAGAACAACGGAAGAGAGGAGGTCGACTTAATTCAGGAAAGTTGGTACCAGCGGAATCAGCTGGCGCTGTTAAAGGCTGGTTTCGCTGGTCCTCGCCTCGACTCGCCCGGCGTCAACGGAAGATTCCACCCAAGGGCAATTACCGGATTATGCGATTAACGACAATCTATCGTTACGTTGCAACCCGCCCCAGGAAACACCGGGGACAATCGAGGGTCCTTCGAGGCGCTCTTTGAGAAGAGCCACTCTCTCGCCGAGAAAGGAGGCCGCGAGTCGAGACAATCCTGGGAAGGATGGTCGACGTCTCGTGTCGGTCGTCAGGGCCGTTCCTGGTTGGGGGTGCAAAAGGTGCCCCGAACCCAGAGACGCTTTCAACACGCGTATTGTATACAGAATTTGGACAGTTTGGTCTAATACCCTTAAAAAAAAAGTGTTGTATTCGAATCGACCGATTTGAGGGGGGTTTCACTTCACCTTAAGCCGTTATCTGTGCAATGTGAAAAGAGAACCAATATTTTGAATGTGGCAAGACAATTCTTAGATCACGAGTCATGTGTCAAAGTTTCGGACAGTTTGGTCCAATACCCTTAAAAAAAAGTGTTGTATTCGAATCGACCGATTTGAGGGGGGTTTCACTTCACCTTAAGCCTTATATGTGTGCAATTTGAAAAGAGAACCCAAATTTTGAATGAGTCAGGCCTATTCTTAGAAGATAACAAGTCACGTGTCAAAGTTTCGGACAGTTTGGTCCAATACCCTTAAAAAAAAGTGTTGTATCCGAATCGACTGATTTGAGGGAGGTTTCACTTCACCTTAAGCCGTTATCTGTGTCAGGCCTATTCTTAGAAGATCACGAGTCACGTGTCAAAGTTTCGGATAATTTGGTCCAATACCCTTAATAAAAAGTGTTGTATTCGAATCGACTGATTTGAGGGGGGTTTCACTTCACCTTAAGCCGTTATCTGTGCAACGTGAAAAGAGAACCAAAATTATGAATGTGTCAGGACAATTCTTAGATCACGAGTCGTGTGTCAAAGTTTCGGACAGTTTGGTCCAACACCCTTAAAAAAAAGTGTTGTATTAGAATCGACTGATTTGAGGGGGGTTTCACTTCACCTTAAGCCGTTATCAGTGCAATGTGAAAAGAGAACCAATATTTTGAATGTGTCAGGACAATTCTTAGATCACGAGTCATGTGTCAAAGTTTCGGACCGTTTGTTCCAATACCCTTAAAAAGAAGTGTTGTATCCGAATCGACCGATTTGAGGGGGGTCTTCACTTCACCTTAACCTGGGAACGATCCTGCTGACCGGTGCCAGGGGAATCAGCTGGTCCAGCTGGTCCAGCCGGACTCGCTAGGCCTCTGCGGAAGATTCCACGCGTGGGCGAGTAGCGGATCGCGCGACTCGCGCGGAAACGGACCGCTGCGGCCTTCCAGGCTCGTTTACGCGGAATTCCCACGCGAGTCGTGCGCACGCGATTGCGAGCGCTCCCACGTACCGTGCGCGCTCTTTATGCCCCTGAATTGGCGTCAATTAGAAACCCGACTCGGCGGGAATTAACCTAGAATTGGTCGCGAAAATCGACGGGCGACGCGAGGCGATCGCTCTGGTACGTGTCCGGAATTGCGGTCGAATCGCCCCACGTAACGAGGATATCATTTTAAACTATTAAATTAAACGATTTTGGGATATAAAAGGACATTTCTCTCCCTCCTCCCTCATTCCATATATATATATACACATATATATATATGCGAATGCATATAATGCAAAAACTGCGAATTACGCGTTACTGCCCAACCCTGCTTATGGGTACTCTTAAATGTATATACATACATACATACATACATAGTATACATATATATACACATATATACATTATATATTATATATATTAATTATATTATATATATAATGTATACTATGTATGTATGTATATACATTTAAGGGTACCCATAAGCAGGGTTGGACAGTAACGTGTAATTCGCAGTTTTTTACGTAAAATACGTAAGGGATGTATTTTTCTTAAAATCCAAGTAAAATACCTAATAAATTCCAGGACGAAGATGGCGGTACTGTAACCTCACTTTTTCAACACGGTCCAAGTATACGTCACTTGTGAATAAACATTTTAGTCAAAAATAGAAAGGAATAAAGAATAATGGCAAAATGGAATGAACGTTAAAAAGATCTAGGCATCACATTCCAGTTTTCCATACGTTCCATGGATAATTTTGAATTTTAACCGTATCAGGAATAAGAACTGCAGAGACGTAAAGTGGCATATTCATGTGAATTACCTCACGTATGAAATTTGTTGAGTGAAATACCTAGTAAATTACTGTGAAAAACTACGTAAATTATCTAGGGTATTTTACTTAACCAAACCCTGCCCATAAGTAGTCAATTATTTTGAAATAAGTGTTTTAGACGTGAACAAAAAATTGATTACTTATGGGTACCCTTAATATATGTGTATATTTTATATACAGCGGAGGTATGTCATATGTATATCATATGTGAATGTTACATCTACCGGTGCTCATCTCGTAGATACATCTCGGAGCGATTTAACATTCGAGCGCATCTACATGGGTGTCATCCCCAGGTATGTCCCGGGATGATGCTCTAGGTGTCGGTACAGATCTTCGCGAGATCAGGGCTCGATGTAAACGGGAAACCAAGAGGGAAATGCAAGGGTTCATGGAGGCCCTAATCGAGGCGTTCCAGGGCGTTCCTGCGCGGTCTCTCGGGGAGCATCGAGCGCGTCAGCCGGGCGGCGGCGGGGATCCCGAGGGGTCCTGTCATCCCCCGGTCTCGACGGCTCCCGAGGGTCGCGGGGGAGTACTCTCGCATACACACCACTCACTCGGCGCCTCCCCGACTGTCCCTCGACGAGCGGCGGGCGTCGCTGCGGGTATGGACGCCGGGCGTCGCCAGGTAGCCCCGGTGTGCCGCGGGTATCCTTCGCGGCGTCGCCCCGTACCTACTCATCCGGACGTAGCGACCTAACGCGCCGGCGGTCGCCGCACTACTGGCGCGGCCTCGACCGAACCCGACCACGGCGGCCGAGCTCCGCCGAGTCTGCCCGAGCTTCGCCGCGCGGCTACGAAGGCGCCCTCGGAAGCACCCGAGGACTCCCGAGGACTCCCGAAGCCTCCCGAACCGCTCCGAAGCATCTCGCGAGCCGGGAAGAGAGAGAGCGCTCCGCGAGACGAGAAAGACGCAGAGATAGAGAGCTCCACAGGTCGCGGGAGAGAGTCGCGAGCGGCGGACCTCCCGAATCCGCTCCGATTAAGCGACCTTAATTCATCTCTGGATCGATCGCGGATGCAGAATTGAACGAGAGGCGTCTTGTAGGAGCTCGCGAAAGTCGGAACTCCGCCTGGCACGGATGGCGCGGAATTCCGCGGCTACGTGCAGTTACGTGCAGTTATTTGCAATTATGTGCAGTAACGTGCAGCTGCGCTGCTGTGTCGAGACTCGGGAGCAGGGTTCAAATGCCTGGAGGGCCCAGGTCGCAGGTTAAGCGGGCTCGAGAACGAAGCTTGGCTTAGAACTCGCTTTCGTGTTTTTAAACACGAACCGAGAGTATGTTCCTGGATCTTAGACTGTAGACATTGTCGAATTAAACGTAAAAACTTAAGGAAAAACGCGTCATTATCTTTTTTTCATCCTCGCTGCAAATTGCGTGTCATGTCGTATCCAATATCCTCCTGCATTCTATATTAGATATAACTTTACTTCGTACACTTGATTACATATTAGTACACTCACTCCCTTCAGTTCCCCTTAACTCTTTGAACACGGAGCCATTTCGCCATATGGGCGAAATTCGTCTGCCCGTGCAGGCAATATTAGACCAAACGTCGGGCACCTTTAGGCGCTCTTAGTAGCCAAAGGGTTAAGGCTGCCACGAGATTGCAGGTGTTTTTCTAAAGCCACGATGCTACCGAATAATTATACAGAGTGGGGGCGATCACTGTTTGATATCAGTTCTTTAACTCTTCAAACACGGAGCCATTCGCCATATGGGCGAAATTCGTCTGACCGTGCAGGCAATATTGGACCAAACGTCGGGCGCCTTTAGACGCTCTTAGTAGCCAAGGGGTTAAGGTGAAGTGAAACACGTCGAGGAAATTCATCGACGTCGGTAAAATAGGTTTTTCTAAATGCCTACGTTGCCAACGTTCGTTCTTATATTGACAGCTCTATCGAATTATATTGACTATTGTACTAAATGGCATACTTCATCTGTCGTTTTCGCACAATAATTATATAGAAATCGAAGTGAAACTCCAGAGATTCTCTGAATTCATGGTTTCCGAGGCCCTAATTGACTGCAGAGGGACCCCCTGCCAAGTGATACTTATTACAGAAACTGTTGAAATTACATGATATGAAGCTTGCAGTTAGCTCGAGAAAATGGGACAGGATGCAGTCTTCATCCGTTTTTCCTTCGAGTTTTACATACAAGTCGACACGATCAGAGTTCCAGCATCGCGGCACGTACACGAGTTTTTACCGACGTTGCAGTCTGCACATTTCCTCGAATTATCGCACCAGCTCGAAGTGCTGACGCGTGGTAAAGAGAAATACTCGGTGTATTAAGGTGATATAAAAGGATCACACTATATATATATAGTGTGTTTGGTACATATACGGTTTGATATATATATATATATCGTATGTATAAATATAATCACGTGTTAAAATTCCAGATAATTCGGTTCACCCAGTTTGGAGAAAAGTTTTATAAATATTTTGACGGTTTGATACATATATTTATAAAACTTTTCTCCAAACTGGGTGAACCGAATTATCTGGAATTTTAACACGTGATTATGGAAGCCTTAAAGTGATATAAAAGGGTCAACATGTGCTTTGGTTTAAGTTTAGGATAAATAAAAGAAATTTTTCTTTAAAAAATGAAATTTCACGAGCACCGCGTTCTTCCTTAGGGCCTTCATAATCACGTGCTGAAGTTTCAAACGATTCGGTGCACCCAGTTTGGAGAAAANTATATATATCAAAATATTTATAAAACTTTTCTCCACCCTGGGTGCACCGAATTATTTGAAACTTCAGCACGTGATTATGAAGGCCCTAAGGAAGAAAGTGGTGCTTTTTGATATGTATATGACACTTTCATATCACCTTAAGTTATACATAAGAGACGCGTATAGGCTTGGAGAAAATACACGGCAGTTGGTACCATTTGGTGATCGCATGTTCCCATCAGACGGGATCAACGGACCCGCGAAAGTAACGGGGCGTTAAGGTCGTTGCAGACCTTGAAGAGCTGAATGACTTCATATAGCTGAGCTCTTCTCGTCTCGATGCATCTTCGACAACCGATACGGAAGTCTGAGACCCTTCGGGAAGACCGTTGCATGCCCTAAAGAGCTGAATATCTTCATATAACTAAGCTCTTCTCGTCTCGATGCATCTTCGAGAACCGATACGGAAGTCTGAGACCATTCCGGAAGACTGCTGCATGCCCTGAAGAGCTGAATATCTTCATATAGCTGCGTTCTTTTCGTCTCGATGCATCTTCGAGAATCGATATGTAATTCTAAGACCCTTCCAGAAGGCCGCTGCAAACCCTAAAGAGCTGAATATCTTCAAATAGCTGAGTTCTCGTTTCGATGCATCTCCAAGAACCGATACGGAAATCTGAGACCCTCCCGGAAGACCGTGGTATGCCCTGAAGAGCTGAATATCTTCATATAGCTGAGTTCTTCTCGTCTTGATGCATCTTCGAGAACCGATACGGAATCCTGAGACATGATGTCTGAGGATGTGCATGTCCTGAGGAGCTGAATATCTTCATATAGCTGAGCTCTTCTCGTCTTGATGCATCTTCGAAAACCGATACGGAATTCTGAGACATGATGTCTGAGAACATGCATGTCCTGAGGAGCTGAACATCTTCATATAGCTGAGTTCTTCTCGTCTTCATGCATCTTCGAAAACCGATACGGAATTCTGAGACATGATGTCTGAGAACATGCATGCCCTGAAGAGCTGAATACCTTCATATAGCTGAGCTCTTCCGTCTCGATGCATCTCCAAGAACCGATACGAAGTTCTGAGACATGATGTCTGAGAACATGCATGCCCTGAAGAGCTGAATACCTTCATATAACTGAGCTCTTCCGTTTCGATGCATCTTCGAGAACCGATACGGAAGTCTAAGACCCTTCCGGAAGACCCTCGCAGACCCTGAAGAGCTGAATACCTTCATATAGCTGAGCTCTTCCGTCTCGATGCATCTCCAAGAACCGATACGAAGTTCTGAGACATGATGTCTGAGAACATGCATGTCCTGAGGAGCTGAATATCTTCATATAGCTGAGTTCTCGTTTCGATGCATCTCCAAGAACCAATACGGAAGTCTGAGACACGATGTCTGAGGACGTGCATGTCCTGAGGAGCTGAATATCTTCATATAGTTGAGCTCTTCCGTTTCGATGCATCTTCGAGAACCGATACGGAAGTCTAAGACTCTTCCGGAAGACCCTCGCAGACCCTGAAGAGCTGAATATCTTCATAAAGCTCAGCTCTCCTCGAGAACCGATCTCCATCTTCGAGAACCGATACGGCATTCCGAGATCCTTGCGACGTCAGGGTAACCGGACCCACCTCCGGAGTTTCCGCGTCGACGCTCGGCGAGGGGAACATCGATATACGGAATGTTCCGGTTTTCGCGACTTTCGAGCACCTTTCGCCAGGGTGTACCGTTATTGGACGCCTCGCTGGTGCCGGCTTCTATTCGGTGCCACAACTCTCCAGCTCGCTCCCCTCCATCTGGAATCGAGGACGACTCTCGCACTCTTCCTCGGGTCCGGCCTCCTTATTTTAAAATGCCGGTGGAAGTGCCGCATACCTCCGCGTCACGGTTCTAAACGAAGCACGAATACTTCTTCAGGTTCCGTTGCGAAACCTACGGGAAACTCGTGTATTAAAAATCGCGTTCGATTCCTTGCCAAGGCGTCGCAACCTTGATTTAATATACTCGTCGCATATACGTTTCTTAAGGTGAAGTGAAACCCCCTTCATATCAGTCGATTCGAATACAACAATTTCTGTTAAGGGTATTGGACCAATCTGTCCAAAACTTTTACACATCACTGCTGATCATCTAAGAATTGTCCTGACGCATTCAAAATTTGGATTTCTTTTTTTAAACTTTTTAACTCAGCCCAGACCAGAACCGAAATGGCGTCGAGCTCTCATATTTCGATTAATATATATTTATCGAAGGCTCTGATATGAGAAACGAAAGGGTCAGGACAATTTTATGACAATTTATAACACTCTGGTAATCGTTAAACTCGCATTTGATCGGGATAGAGGCCAAAAAAGTGTTGTATGCGCTTCTATGCTAAAACGATGGTAATACGAGGTCTCGGAGTGAAAATTTAGTTGAGACGGAAATCACAGAGGTCGCAGAGGGTCCCTCTGCCGTCATTTAGGGCCTCGGAAACTACGAATCCAGAGGATTTCTGGAGTTTTACTTCGATTTCTTTATAATTCTTGCACCAAAACATCAAATGGAGTACGCCATTTAGTACAATACCCAATGTAATTCGATAAACTCGCATTTGAACAAGATAAAGGTGAAAAAGGTGTCTTATCCGCTGTTATCCTAAGACGATGGTAATACGAGGTCTCGGAGTGAAAATTTAATTGACCTGGAAATCACAGATGGCACAGGGGGTCCCTCTGCCGTCATTTAGGGCCTCGGAAACTACGAATCCAGAGGATTTCTGGAGTTGTACTTCGATTTCTTTATAATTATTGTACGAAAACGACAGGTAGAGTATGCCATTTGGTACGATACCCAATATAATTCGACCCGGCTGTCAATATAAAAACCAACGTCGACAACGTAGGCATTTAAAAAAATCTTCTTTATCGTCGTCGATCAACTTCCTCAACGTGTTTCACTTCACCTTAACGTTACATACCCGTCCATCTGTGTTTCTTAATTCGAATTCGGTTCGCCTTGATAACGTTAAATTGATATCGTCCTAATTGCCTCGATGAGGTGAAGGGTCAAGTTTCGGCAACGCTCTCGAAGAGAGGAAATCCTTATTTATGATAGAAGGAACGAACGAGCCACCGAGAAGCGAAGTTTCTGTAACTTGTTATCGGGGTCGGGAATAAAGAGCGCGCATCGTGGAGATTGATAAGGCCAGAGTAGGAATCGCGCTCCTTTGCGGCTCGAAGCCAATCGGGCGATTAGCGAGCGACCGGGTCATGGCTGCTGCCGACTTAAGTTTCGCTCTCTTAATCGCTTCGACAAATGTGTCAAGAACGTCGCCACGCTCGTCTCGGCGCAACAAAGCGAGCTTTATTATGCTCGCCTTAAGGTGAAGTGAAACCCCCTTCAAACCAGTCGATTCGAATACAACACTCTTTTTTAAGGGTATTAGACCAAACTGTCCGAAACTTTGACACATCACTCCTGATCATCTAAGAATTGCCCTGACGCATTCAAAGTTTGGATTTTTTTTTTTTTTTAATTGTTTAACTCCGCCCAGACCAGAACCAAAATGGCGTCGAGCTCTCATATTTCGATCGATATACAGTTATCGAAGTCTCTGATATGAGAATCGAAAGGGTCAGGACAATTTTACGACAATTTATAACACTCTGGTAGTCGAAAAACTCGCATTTGAACGAGATAAAGGCAAAAAAAGTGTTGTATGCGCTTCTGTGCTAAAACGATGGTAATACGAGGTCTCGGAGTGAAAATTTAATTGACCTGGAAATCACAGATGGCGCAGGGGGTCCCTCTGCAGTCAATTAGGGTCGCAGAAAGCATGAATCCAGAGGATTTCTGGAGCTTTACTTCGCTTTCTTTATAATTATTGTACGAAAACGACAGGTAGAGTATGCCATTTGGTACGATACCCAATATAATTCGACCCAGCTGTCGATATAAAAACCAACGTCGACAACGTAGGCATTTAGAAAAATCATCTATATCGACGTCGATCAAGTTCCTCGACGTGTTTCACTTCACCTTAAGCCGCGTACTAGTTACGCAGAAATAAGCATAAAGGCGGCCTTATTGGCGCATTTTCTAGGTAGGACTTCTTGAAGAGAGCGCGTCCCTCTTCAGGGTTCTGTTCAGGAAGCAATCCCTACATAACGAGACTCTGTGGATACCACGCTATCAGTCAGGAACGAGAGCATGTCGAGCGATGAATGGTCACAGGAACGGGTATCCTCTAACAAAGCGGGCTTTATTGCTCGCATCTAGATCTGTGCACTGGTTACATGAGTCACACAGAAAAGCGTAGTCGGTATCACTGGTTACGTAGGTTGTGCAGGATCTTCTTCTGGAGCCCGCTGGTTCTCACTTACCGAGGTTCTGTAGGTAGACCGGATCTACCGAAATTTTGTATTGTTGCAGCATCGAAAGCACCCGCGTGTAAATCATCGACGGGGCGTCGATGGCCCACAGGAAGTCCAGGTGGCTGAATTTCGGGTATGGGACCCTGTACTTGCCGGCTTTAATCGGTAACTTTGTGTAGAACCTCAGTACATCCTGTAGAAATGACAATACGACATGTTAGATCGGTCAAAGGTGATATAAGAAAGAGGAATGTGCATGGTGAGACTCCTGGCAGCCGAAGAGGCCCCTGCAGATCGCCGACTTACGTTCACGCTGGCCAACCAGTCGTTATCGGCGTAATAAATGGCCACTGGTACGTTTATCTTCGTTAAGTCGTAGCTAGGAGGTGTCGTGTTGTTGTACACTCGCTTGTTCGTTGATGAACCGTAGTCGAATTGCCTGAATTCCCCGGACTGGATCTCCTGAGCGTAGTGGACGACGGTTCTCGTGGAAGTACCCGCGGGACTGTGGCCCAGGATCACCGGGATTAGGGTCTTCGAAAAGAATTACTAAGATTAGAAGGAGAAAGACCATGGAGGTGATGTTATAGCTTTTGAGTCAAGTCAAAGGACGTTTACATCGTTAAACTCGGCCTGGTCGAAGCCGCTGAAGATGAAAAAGATGTTGGCGCAGAGCTCCTTCTCCCAGTTCACTTTATCGCAAACATATTTCGCTAACACTCGCAAAAACGTGTTTTGTGGCAGGAATTCGTTTGCCCCTAAGAGCTCAGTGACTATCTGGAAGACATTAATCATACCGAGTTATCAGGTAATGGAAGGAAAGGGTTGCGGACGCTCACCTCGATATCTTTCGCAAAAGGAGCTATCAATCTAATTGGACTTCTCACATGAGTCATGAAGGCCACCGGAGCCAGACTTAACATTACTTGAATCCCTTTAGTAATTTCTGGCCTCTCGGAGGCCATCACGTAAAACATGGTTGTGCCCATGGAATGCCCAATATAAAATAGTTTGTTGTCTTTCTTACGTTCAGCGATGTACCGTATTACTGCAGGAAGATCATACACTCCCATCTCATGCCAGCTGTGGGATGCGATGAATCGTTACTTATCATGGCTTTAACATGTATATTATTAATTGATCCAAAAAGTCGTTCCGAAGCAATTACCTAAAATTCCAGTACTGTGGATCGGATATAGTTAGATTCACGTGGGATCTAGAGTATGTATTGCCTCTTACATTTCCAAGCCATACATCGTATCCAGCGTCTGATAAAATGTATGCTGCAAGAATAAAGCACAATGTTTATTGACAAGCCAAACAAATAGCATGACTAGTGTGTACCTAGAGCCTTTTCCTTTCCACTGAATACCCAGTCAGCGGAGGACCCAAGAAGACCATGCTGCAACAGCACTGTTGGTGCATTGTCTTGTGGAATCCGATGTACCGTTAATAAATATCCATCTTCGGTTTCAACCACATGAGCCTCTGCAGGATATCCGTTTTTCCTTATCAATTCCAGCTGTTGAAAACAATTACATTGTGGCTGATTCTTTCCTCGATATAAATTAAAGTTTCTATTTCTCCAAATGGTTTTAAATAATAATAATAACACTTACAGTCTGAAGATAGACATCCGGATCCGCATGAATATTCTTATCGAACGAAAACCAAGGCAGTAGATTTAATCCCGAGACAACAGGACTTCGACTGCAAAAGCCACTTGCCGCAAAGAAGATAACGATGCGAATCATAACTGCCATGGTTGCTTATTTACTGAATAAGCCAGAAGTGAATCAACTGTTGAACCTGCTAAAAATCAAATTCCTTGACTCATGGTAACACGGCTACTGCTTCCATGCAATTGATAACGTATACCTTCAAGAACGCACACATGCAGCAGAATGCGTCGCCGGTTTACACAACTACGTGATAATCATTGTATCAAGAGGAAGTGCATGCAGCAGTCTTGCGCGTGTCTAATTCAATTCTTCCCGCTACTTGTCATCACGAAATATTCTGCATTTTTTTTGGTGGGGGAAATATAACCACTTGATGAAATAAATATAAAACTAATTTCCCTTAAGCATTAAGTTAAAAGGACTAAGAGAGTTCTTGCGTGGTAATAATAACCCCAAGAAAGTCGACGTCTGATTGGCTACCGTTCAGCCAATGGCGTTGCAGGATTGTTACACAACGTGGATCAGAATTACCTAATAGCGTTTTCAGCTGGATTACACTCAGCTACACTGGTGTAGAGCAGAGTTGAACAGAGATGAGTTGGGAGATTGCTCACGGGCAGGGTCGCGC